ACACTTCGTCACGAGCACGACGCCACCGTCTCTCTAGCCGTCTCAGTTCCCGTTTCAGCGAGCGCAACTCCTGGGTATACCAGGGCGCTCGCCTAGTCCGAGTGCGGAGAGGGCGCCTGGGAGCGATCTCGTCGATGGCTGAGGAGAGACGGTTGTTCCAGTCCTCCACCAGCTCCTCCAACGAGCCGCCAGGGGGTCTCGGATCCCGCAAGGCCATTTGAAGCCGCAAGGGGTCCATTTGGCTCCGCGGGCGAGCCAAAATCAGCTCGCCACCTAAACAGGGTCGGGGTGGGACATTCAGACGGGCCTTCAGGGCATGGTGGTCCGACCATGGCACTGCCAAGGCAGTGATCCGGTCCACCGTCACTCCCGCTGCGAAGATCAAGTCGAGCGTGTGTCCAGCCCGATGCGTGGGAGCCGAAACGAACTGCGAGAGTCCCAGTGCCTTCGTCCCCGTCACTGGCATCTACAGGCCAGCCGCTGGAAGGTCGGGGCCGAGCACCTCCAGGGCCCAACGCTCCCTCCAACTCTCCCTGCGCTGACAGCATGGATCTGGTGTCGTCCATGGCGGCACTGGTCCAAAACAATCCATTGGCACCTTTAAGACCAAGTTTTATTCAGGTACAAGCTCTCCCTCCTCTGCGAGGACAGATCTGCACGTTCCCCCCCCAAAAAAGCTAGCAATCCAAAAGAGTCCAGTGGATTCTGAGCGGTGGGTGTTGCCTTCTGACACCCTTGCGGTGATGTCAGGGGGTGTGGCATATGCAAATAAGTTATGCTAATGAGCTCCTGCACCTCTTTTTCTACGAAACGACCCCTGGGCAGGCGTCATGGTGCCCACGGGCACCGCATTGGTGAACTCTGTTTAATGCAAGGATGTCAGATGGATCAGGGAGGGCCACCTGGTCCAATCCCAGTCCATCTATCCTCCCCACTTTTAAAATTGACTTTTGTCACGTTTTTTGGCCGAACAGTGAAGTTGGTGAGGATGTACACCCTGTGGCTTCAAAACCAGCTCTAAGTATGACATTCCATCAGATGTAAAAGAGCGGCTGGCGTATTGTGCTGGGGAAAATAAGAACTGGAATGTTTCATCCCCGCCTCGGTCAACCCGTGAGAGTGCTACCAGGGGTCGAAATGGCAGTCCGTCCGATGTTTACCTTCGTTCTGAGCATCTGCATCTGAATGAAACAAGCGAGCCAGCCCCGCAGTGTAGTGCTCGGAGTGTCAGAGTAGGCTCTGGGAGACCCGGGTTCAAATCCCCACCCTGCCGTGGAAGCGTGGCCCAGTCACATATTCTCAGCCTAGCCTACCTCACAGGGTTGTTAGGAGGATAAAACAGAGGAGAGGAGACCAATGTAAGCCGCTTTGGGTTTCCATTGGACAGAAAGGTGGGATACAAATGAATAAGGGGAACTTTTCTTTTAAAAATGGAGGTTGCAGTGATCCAAGCATCGATTTTCCAGGCAGTGCTCACGTGGGCTTTCTACGGGCTGAGGATGCAGATTGTATTTGGTTCTTGCAATGGGGTTGTTTTCTCCCCCTATTCCATGGCTGAGCTACTAACCCACTCTGTGTGTGTGAACTCCGCTAGTGTCGTAGGCCTCGGGTCACTGAAAATGCTTTCTTTGTACTGTGTCCCGTGTGCTCTCTTCCTTTCTCCCCGGCAGTGCCCTTAGTACTGGAGATGGATCCTCGCCGTTTTTATCCTTCAACCCTCTGGAGACAAACGAGAGCCCCGTTAACCTATTTTCTGATGATTTTAGGGACCTTTGACACTAGAAAAGGAAACCGGATTTTAAAATACACAAAGAAGGTAGCGAGACAGTTCCCGTAAAGCCCTTCTGGCCAGGTTTTGTGATTGCGCCGAGTTCACTGAGCGTATCTGTGAGGGCAGCGTAGATTTAATCTGAGGTCTCCTTCGATGCGTCAGACCTGATGTTGTTTGAACGACATATTAGCTGTCTTACAGACCTCTGTTGGATTTCTGAGCATTCACATTACCGTGTCAAGGAAAACTGGTACGTTAGGTCTGCCACGTACACAAAACAGAATGTGTCTTTTGTGTAATATTAATTAATGTAATAAATATATTTAAATTTCTAATGCAACAGGGTGGTGCTTCTTTCCCTGATGTTGCTCAGATGCAGACAATACATTGATGGTTGGTCATTAACCCCCAAATCCAAAAGTAACAGGACAGTGCTTTTTATTGCTTGCGACAGAAGTATCACACGGTACTGAAGGAGCAGTCCACTTTGCCAGAACTCTTTTTAGAGGTTGGGTTTTAAGGGGCGGGGGGAATAAATGAGGGGAGGGAGAGACGTTGGTGAGAATTGTGGTCTGTAGTTCACAATAGTCTTTGGGGAGAAAGCCAGAGGTCCTGCTGGGTGCAGAAAAGACATCTCAGGTACCGTCCAAGGGGTGGGAATTGTGCCCCGTAACTTTCAACCGGCCCATATTGACGGCAACTAACAGGAATCCCAACAGAACAATGGCCTTTTGCTCTAGTTCAGCCTGCCAAATTTCCTTCCTAGGACAGTTATCTGCATCATATCTTCGAGCGACCATTCTCAAAGGGCTCGAGGTTCTGTCCCATCCTGCCCATCAGCATCTCCCCGTAACTTTCTGTGAGTTTTTTTGGCTTAACATCCAGTCTAAAGAAGAGGTTCTGGTGACCTCAAAAGCTCCTGTTGTTCTCATTGGTTGATCGGGGACCATCCTCCCACCCCTGATGTGACGGTTCCACCACTGTAAATAGAATAAGGACAAAAATTATTAACACATGGGATTCACTGCCACAGGAGGTGGCAGCGGCTACAAGCATGGACAGCTTCAAAAGGGAATTAGATAAGCCTATGGAGCAGGAGTCCATCAGTGGCTATTAGCCACATGGAATAGATAGGAACTCTCAGTCTGGGGCAAGTGATGCTCTATCTTCTTGGTGCTTGGGGGGGGGTCAACAGTGGGAGGGGCTCCTAGTGTCCTGGCCCCACTGCTGGACCTCCTGATGGCACCTGGTACTTTTGGCCACTGTGTGACACAGAGTGTTGGACTGAAGGGGCCACTGGCCTGATCCAACATTGGCTTCTCTCTTATGGTTCTTATGGTTTGTAATAGATCTTGTTGCATTGAAAGTTGAACCATATAAGAAGAAGAAGAAAATTTCCTTGGGGTATATTTCTAGCAACCAGCATTAACTTATGAACCCTGGAGAGGGAGTGTACACATGGACCTTTCCCCCCATGTGGTCGCAACACCAGTGACGTGGTTTTGGGGGGGGCTTCCTTTAAGGGCCTAAGATGCACTGAGGCCACTGTGTTGGAATCGGGACCCATCGAATCTGACAGAGCCGGAACAGGACTGAAGATTCTAAGAAGCTTTGGAACCGAAGTGAATCTCGTTGTGGGGGCCGTGTTAAGAGCGGCACTGTAGAACTTAAGGGTGTTTGTGTGATCTTAACTGAATGGTCTTGATTTGTAACTTTTGGCCAAACTTTGCTTGCAGCTGGTCTGAAAACCCAGAAGCATGGAAGTTCCAGAAGACCAGGCAGACGTGGCTTCTTTTGCACATGTACGATAAAGACAAGGTACGTCCCGATGTTTCCTTTCCTCTTCAGAAGCCAAAGAGGTACATCCTTGGGAGGGGCCATGGCTCAGTGGTAGAGCATCTGCTTGGCATGCAGAAGGTCCCAGGTTCAATCCCCGGCATCTCCAGTTAAAAGAGGACCAGGCAGGAGGTGAAGAGGACCAGGCAGGAGGAACAGACACAGCAGCTTTCTACCGAGTCAGGCAGTTGGTCTGTCAAGGTGAGCCTTGCCAACTGTGACCCGCAGTCGCTCTCAGCTAGAGGCCTTCCATATTGTCTAATACCTGATCTTTTCAAATGGAGTTGCCAGGGACTGAACCCGCGACCTTCTGTGTGCAAAGCAGGGGCTCTGCCACTGAGCCATGGCCCCTCCACTGCATTGCTGGCGTAATTCCACAGGTGCATTATTCCTCTGGCATGTTGGCCACCACTGGAGGAAGAGCTGCCTGAAATGGGAGGTTAACGATTTCCAAAATACCTCCAGACCTGGGGTGTGTAAAGAGGACCAGTGTGGTGCAGTGGTGAAGAGCGATGGACTCTGATCTGGAGAACCGGGTTTGATCCCGCACTCCTCCACATGAAGCCAGCTGGGTGACCCTGGGTCAGTCAGTCACAGCTCTCTCAGCCCAAAAAAATAAGTGTAGCTCTCCATCTAGTGGTGCATAATGCAAAAGAGTTAGAACTTAAGGCTGCCAGACAATCTTCAGATCTCCTGGCCCTCCAGCTGATCTAAGTCTTGCAGGAGGTGAGGGAGAGGGGCGGCTGCCGGCCACATGCCTAACCTAAACCCCAACTCTAGGCGCCCCCCCCTAAAAAAACAGCATTTAAAGGGAATCCTTTGTCAGACATGTTCCTTCTTAGAATGGCCGTCCTTGAGAACGTACACAGTTTGAAACATACGATGGGCACATACTACGTTGTTTCTCTCCAGCAGGGTACAGACTCCACAGGATTTCTTGTTCAACACGGAAAAGGGGTTTCTGTAAAATGTCCCCTATCAACGTCGCCACTGTCTCAGCCTGAAACGGTCCAACGATTCTGACGCACGGTCCGTAAAGACCCTTTCACTTTCTCCTCCTTTTGTCTTAAAGGTGCCCGTCGAATATTTTTCCATTTTGCTGCGGTACCTCGAAGGGCTCCAGGGTACCGCACGGACCGTAACTGTGCAGAAAGCGGAAGCGCTCGTGAAAGAATACGACGCTTCCGGAACGGAAGATCCTGGCCTTCTCGAGAAACGTGAGCGCATCCGGAATGTTCTCCAGTTGCTGTCATGAAAACGTGGCATCTTTAAAGATCCTTTCTAGATCCGTCCGTCTCCCCCCACACACACACATATCACAAGAGCACAACTGAATAGAATCCGTAGCTTTTATATGAAATGGAACTCTCAGAAAGCAGAATTAGTAGATGTTTCAAAAGTCGGGAAACGATTGCAGCAAATTTCAGTTGACAGCATCGCGTGGACTCCAGCGAGAATCTGACTGCTCTTCTTTCCGGAACTGTTCTTTTAACACTGCCCATGTAATTATTATTAAGAATGTCTGCATCTGTTCACGATGAGGTTCTTTTTTCCCCACCCACCCTCAAGGATGCTTTTAAACCAAACTGTGAGGCAATCTGTCTTCATCGCACGCGTCTCCTTCAACCTACTCGCCACTGGTTTCATCACTTGTTTTATACTGTCTGTTCGCCTTGGAGACCCAGAGGATATGGGTTCGGGTCAGCCTGCCTTTATGTCTGAAAAGTGCCATTTAAAAAATAATAATAATAATTAGCTATATCACACAAAGATGAATGGGCAAAGCGGTGGGCTCTTCCACCTGACGTGATCAATAAAAGGACGTTCTGCTTACGCTTTGATGGATCCGGAGTCCTATTGGCCCTCGCTATTATTTTCCAGTTGAGTAAATCTCGCTTTTGTCGTAGCTTTGTCGGGGAGCCCGTTTGTGTCATCGAGAAGTTGAATCTCTGCGGGCTTTGGGGGACAGAAAACGAAGCTACTAATTGTTCCCGAGCTGGAGGTGCTAATTTGACCGGTTGTCTTCAACCAGCTCTAATTACCCAGACTTCTCCAAGCGTTTCACTGTTGTTTAAATTGTAGCCTCCGTCTGGGGTTCTTCGGCAACCTTCGCCGGACTGTCTCTCTTTAGGAGCCACGGAAAAAAACGTGGAAGAGATTAGCGATTCTGAAAGTCACTAACGCATTGCATTCCCTTTAAGACAAACTCGGTCCGGGAGCCAAATGCATAAACGATCCAATATGTGCTGTGCTAGTGTAGTAACGCCAATGGAATTTAATACACTGGCACCAGCGTAAGTACAAATTCAGCAAAGCTGAGCACGTGAAATCCCTCTGACATGCCTGTTGGAACAAACTGCATCCCTCCCTTTCCCGTGTTTTGTCATCACCTGCCCCTCGGCATTTCAGTCGCTGACGCTGACGCCTTCGGACGCTGCCGGAAAAGTCACACGGGGTCTCCGTCGCTCAAACGTTGGCCTGCACTTTGCTTGGTTCTAAGGGAGTCGATTCCAAAGACAGCAACAGAACATTCCAACCTACACATTTTCCACTAGAATAGTAAGTTGTGGTTTAGATCCAGCGGGATCTGTTCTACTCACGTGGACTCTGTCCTCAGTGACAGGGAGACTTTTGTTCTCCGAGAACAGATCTGCTGAATCTAGCCTACGGCCATGACAGATAAAAAGGGTTTATGGAGTGAACCAGCTATGATTCCTGCCCCCCAGCTCTAGGGTGGCTATAGGTCAGGACCATAGCCAGTAATCTTTTTGTTCAGGGGGCATTTAAATTTTTAAGGTGGCAATTAAATCACAGTTAATTAAATAAATCTGAATGTCTGTCTTTAAAGGGGGAGGCTCCAAGCCTGTTTCTAGCCCTCCCTTTCAAGGCTATTTGTGGAGCAGGGTTTTTATTTAAGGGGGCAGGGCCCTGAAGTATCCCCACTGTAGCCACGGGCCTGCTATAGGTGCTTCTGTGCAAAAGTTGGCTTGCTGTGTACCGTTGAAGCTACACGGTGCAATATTAGAACCCTCTGATCAGTCATGTGGGGGGAGATGTGGGGACTCTTCCAGTTACCTGCTTGGTTTATAAATCTACATCAGAGGTTTCCAACTTTCTTGAGCCCTCTGGGCACTTTTGGATTTGAAAGCAGGCGACGAGCGCCCCCACAAGATGGCTGCCATCTATGGGGCGCAGCCGGACCACAAAATGGCTCCTGTGCAGCCAATCACAGAACGCTGGGGGGTTCTGATCTAAGCACCCTCTTATGATGGAACAGCTGTTTCCAATTCGGTCCTCCATTCAGACCCTCTTCTGAGAGCCCTTTTGTCTGAAAGCCAGGATTGGCTCTCTGGTTTGGGGAATAAGTGCTTTGCAGAAGCAGGCAGTAGACAATGTTCCCTCTAAACTGTGGAGTCCTGTGAGCAAAAATTCTACTTTGTGAGTTAGTGGCATTAAAGCTGTGAGCGATCAGTTTGGCTACTGCATAAGTCAGTTTGCTCTGGAGCCCTCCTTCCTGAGCGAAGACAAAAATGTGTGAGCCGGAGGCTAAAAAACGGTGAGCTAGCTCACACTAACTCAGCTTAGAGGGAACTCTGGTAGACACCAAAAATATATACATTGACAGGCAGTCAGGTGCCCACGAGCACCACGTTGGGGATGACTTCAATCTCCCCACTGCTTTTCTGAATGTCTGGCCTCGCAGAATCAACTAAACTGACCGGTGTCTTTCAGTCCAGCCCACCATATTAGTAAACCTCACTCTCAGGCGAAGAGTAACCGCTTGCACCGGTGCCACATTAAATCTTTGTTTGCCAGTCTAATTGTCTTCCAGCTGAGTTAATCTGCATTGTGTATGTCTGCCTGGGACGATTCATATCCTCCGAGACTGCTAGAGTCAGGGCTTTCTTGCAGAGAATGCAGAGGGAGAGAGAGAATTAATTGCTCAAGATTGTTCGGAGCTGGAGATCTGTCTCTGATGACAGTGCTAATTGCTGGGGGGGGGGGACCCAACTCTGATGTTGTAGCAATCTTCCCTTTAATTGAAATGGTCTTTACTATACCAGTTACGTGGTGTCTGTCCTCATTTTTCTTTCAGACTTCTAATTCTGTTAGATTGCTGGAGAAATGGACTTGTCATTTTTAATTTAAGGGGATAAATGTTGGATGGTGTGCGCACACTTGAAAAGAGCCCGGCCTGTTGCTGCTTACTGAAGTATAAAGAAAGGTGATGAAGCGCTGTATCAGCCACAGTTTCTGTTTCACAAACTTAACAGACATGTTCTAAAGCAAGAAGGAAATTAAGATCATAAGAGAAGCCAGGTTGGATCAGGCCAATGGCCCATCCAGTCCAACACTCTGTGTCACACAGTGGCCAAAGTCCAGGGGCCATCAGGAGATTCACCAGTGGGGCCAGACCTTCAGAAGCCATCCCACTGTTGCTCTCCAAGCACCAAGAATACAGAGCATCACTACCCCAGACAAAGTGCTCCTTCTAGACCTTGTGGCTAAGAGCCACTCGTGGACCTCTGCTCCAGATGTTTATCCAATCCCCTCTTGAAGCTGTCTGTGCTTGTAGCCGCCACCACTTCCTGCGGCCGTAAATTCCACATGTCAAGGACTCTTTGGGTGAAGGTATGAGCTTGTGTGTACACGCACACTTTTTCAAATACCATAATAAACTTTATATAAGAAATTGTAAGTAACGTTCCAATAACAAACAGGGATATATCATGAGAGAAGGATTTTAACCTTTAAGACTTAAAACTCATAAAATTTTATATATCGTATTGGCTTATGTCATACTCTGTGTTTCCTTACTCTCTTGAGAGCCAGTTTGGTGTAGTGGTTAAGTGCACGGACTCTAATCTGGGAGCACCAGGTTTGATTCCCCACTCCTCCACTTGCACCTGCTGGATGACCTTGGGCAAGCCATAGTTCTGTCAGAGCTTATTCTTGAAAGAGCTCTCTCAGCCCCACCTAATTTACAGGGTGTTTGTTGTGGGGAGGGGAAGGGAAAGGAGATTGTAAGCTGCTCTGAGACTCCTTCAGGTAGTGAAGGGCAAGGTATAAATCCAATCTCTTCCTCCTCCTCCTCCTCCTCTTCTTCTTCTTCTTCGGTCAGTCGAGTTTTGCAGTAGGCTCATGATTTGTGCAGCGATGTGAAAAAACTACAGAGAACCAGTAAGCAATCCTGTTATTTAGGTTAGTTTTAGATGGGTAGTCATGTTGATCTGTACTAGGAGAGAAAGATTTTGATTTCAGTAGCCCTTTAAAGACCAGTCAAAGTTCCCTTCATCGGATACCTGACTAAAGGAGCTTTGCCAACTCGAAGCAAGGCGAGTCTCCGGGCTGTCCAGGGGCAGAGTCGGACTGCAGATTATGGCCACCACCAGCGGTTTCAGTCTATTTCTGTCTACTGCGACAAGTAGCTAAAACAAAACCTGTGTGGGTGTCTTCTCGGTTTCGAGAGGGGGGAGGCAATCACAGGGGTGTAAATAGCATCTTTTATTTCAGAACAAGCAAAGGTCATTGAAAGTAAAGTGGCTCTCGGTTGGCAAAATGGGCCGTCTCCCCAGGAGTCCCCGTCGCCGAGTGATTTGCCTTGTTAAAAATAAACGTTTAAAGGGACCAGTCTGAAAAAAGGACGCAGTTCTTTACCAGTCACGAGAAAAAGCGTACTTGGAGATAGCCCAAGATGCCGTGCGTGGGCATCGGCCATATGGTCCGGGATGACGGCAAGGAATGTAACCCCTCCCCACAAGGTGGCATGCTTCTCAGCAGTGCTCTTGACTACCCCGGCTTCTAAAAATAGGGCCATGGCCTTTATCTTATCTGAGCCGGGCTCTGCCCTTCTGCAGGGAGTCTCTCAGCTGCTTCTGATCCCCCTCCAAGAACCGCACTGAAAACCACGCCCTGATTCGGTCTCAGGCACAATGCTGTAGGAAGACAGTGAACATAAGAACATAAGAGATGCCAATGTTGGATCAGGCCAAAGGCCCATCCAGTCCAACACTCTGTGTCACACAGTGGCCAGAAATACCAGTGCCATCAGGAGGTCCACCAGTGGGGCCAGGACACTAGAAGCCCTCCCACTGTTGACCCCCCCAAGCACCAAGATGACAGAGCATCACTTGCCCCAGAGCCCCTATCTATACCTTCTGGCTAATAGCCACTGATGGACCTTTGCTCCATATGCTTATCTAATTCCCTTTTGAAGCCGTCCATGCTTGTAGCCGCCACCACCTCCTGTGGCAGTGAATTCCAAGTGTTAATCACTCTTTCGGTGAAGAAGTACTTCCTTTTATCCGTTCTAACCCGACCGCTCAGCAATTTCATGGAGTGCCCACGAGTTCTTGTATTGTGAGAAAGGGAGAAAAGTACCTCTATCTCTACCTGTTCTTTCCCATGCATAATCTTGTAAACCTCAATCATGTCACCCCTCAGTCGTCGTTTCTCCAAGCTAAAGAGCCCTAAGCGCCTTAACCTTTCCTCATAGGGAAAGTGTTCCAACCCTTTTATCTTTGTCTCCAGGTGGGCTACCATCCCCGACTTTTCATTGTCATTCCTTCATGGCGCATTTTTGAACTTGTGAGGAGATCCTTTCCTCATAGCTGTGGTCCGAAGCAGGCCGTCACCGGGGGGGGGGGGCATTTGGGGGCGATGCCCTCACGGATAAACCCCACCCCAGGAGGATGGCTGACTCTACACACCCCTGGTGTGCTGCATTCCTACAATGCTCCCTCTAAGCTGTGGAGTCTTGTGAGCAAAAATTCTGCTTTGTGAGCCACTGGCGTTAAAGTCGTGAGCGAGCGATTTGGCTGCTGCATGAATTTGTTTGTTC